ACTGGATCCAGCAATAAATTGAAAAGATCATACACCACGACCGAGTGGGATTTATTCTGGAGATGCAAGGCTGGTACAACATCCACAAATCAATAAATGTGATACATCACATAAACAAAATGAAGGACAAAAGTCATCTGATCATATCAACAGATGCAGAAAAAGCATTTGACAAAATCCAGCACCCATTTCTGATAAAAACTCTCAGCAAAGTGGGAATAGAGGGATCATACCTCAACATAATAAAGGCCATATATGACAGACCTACAGCCAACATCATACTCAATGGGCAGAAACTAAAACCATTTCCCTGAAAAACAGGAGTAAGACAGGGATGTCCACTTTCACCCTCTTATTCAACCNCACCACTCTTATTCAACATAGTACTAGAAGTCCTTGCCATAGCCATCAGACAGGAAGAAAACACAAAAGGTATCCAAATTGGAAAGGAGGAAGTAAAACTGTCATTATTTGCAGATGACATGATATTGTACATAGAAAACTCTAAAGACTCCAACAAAGTACTACTAGATTTGATAAGTCAATTTGGCAAGGTAGCTGGATACAAAATCAACATCTGGAAATTAATGGCATTCTTATACACCAACAATGAACTTTCAGAGACAGAAACTAAAAAAAAATACCACTTACCATTGCAACTAAAAAAATAAGATACCTAGGAATAAACTTAACCAAGGATGTAAAAGACCTGTACTCGGAAAACTACAGGACACTGAAAAAAGAAGTAGAGGAAGATTTAAACAAGTGGAAGAATATACCATGTTCATGGATTGGAAGAATTAATATCATTAAAATGCCCATACTACCCAAAACAATTTATAAATTCAATTGAATTCCTATTAAAATACCAACAGCATATTTCACAGATCTAGAATAAACATTTTGAAATTTATATGGAACCAAAAAAGACCCCGAATAGCTGCAGCCATCTTGAGAAAAAGAACAGAGAGACATCAAACTGTATTACAAAGCCATTGTAATCAAAACGGCCTGGTATTGGTACAACAGGCATATAGATCAATGGAAAAGAACAGAGACCCCAGAAATAGACCCATGCCCTTATGGTCAGTTAATATTTGACAAAGGAGGCAAGAGCATCCAATGGAGTAAAGACAGTCTCTTCAATAAGTGGTGCTGGGAAAATTGGACAGATACATGCAAAAGAATGAAACTAGACCACCAACTTTCACCATACACAAAAATAAACTCAAAATAGATAAAAGACTTAAATGTAAGTCACAAAACCATAAAAATCCTGGAAGAAAACATAGGCAGTAAAGTCACAGACATCCCATGTAGTGGACTTTTCACTGATACATCTCCTAGGGCAAGAGAAACAAAAGAAAAATAAACATATGGGACTACGTGAAACTAAAAAGCTTCTGCACAGCAAAAGAAAACAGCCTCAAAACACAAAGGAACCCCAAGGTCTGGGAAAACATATTTGCCAAGGATGAATCTGATAAGGGGCTAATTTACAAAATGTACAAAGAACTCATAGCACTCAGCAAGAGAAAGACAAACAACCCAATTAAAAAATGGGCAAAGGACCTGAATAGACACTTCTTCAAAGAGGGCCTACGGATGGCCGAGACACACATGAGAAAATGCTCAAAGTCACTAATCATCAGAAAGATGTAAATGAAAAGCACAATGAGGTATCACTTCACACCTGTCAGAATGGTTCCATCAACAAATCAACAAACGACTTGTGCTGGGGAAGGTGTGGAGAAAGGGGAACCCTGGGACACTGCTGGTGGGAATGCAGACTGGTGCAGCCACTATGGAAAACAGTGTGGAGGTTCCTCAAAAAATTAAAAATGGAGCTGCCTTTTGACCCAGTGATCCCACTTCTAGGAATATATCCTAAGAATCCTGAAACACTAATCAGAAAGAATATATACACCCCTATGTTCATAGCAGTGCAGTTTACAATAGCTAAGATCTGGAAACAGCCCAAGTGTCCATCAGTAGATGAGTGGATAAAAAATCTGTGGTACGTTTACACCATGGAATACTATGCAGCCGTGAAAAAGGATCTCTTAACCTTTGAGACATCATGGAGGGACCTGGAGAGTATTATGTTAAGCAAAATAAGCCAATTAGAGAAAGACAAGTATCATATGATCTTACTCATATGTGGAATCTAATGAACAAAATAAATTGGTGAACAAAATAGATCCAGAGACATAAAAGCATGGAACAAATTGACGAACCTCAGAGGGAAGACGGGAGTGGGGGTGGGTGGGGAGAGATTAACCAAAGAACTTATATGTATATATACATAACTGATGGACACAGACATTAGTGTGGTGAAGGCCTGGGGGGACAGGTGTGGGGTGGAGGGGCTCAAAGGGGGTAAAGGGGGGACATCTGTAATACTTTCAACAATAAAGATAAATTTTTAAAAAAACACCAAAAAAATCCAAAAAAATGAGGATATTGTAGTGGAGAGGGGAGGGTGGTTGTGTGAGTAAAAGAGCACTGGGCCAGGTAGGGCTGGGCTGGGGAGAGGACAGAGAGGAGGGAGGCTCCGCTGTGGGCATCCACAGGTGGACACCAGTCATGTGGGACTCAGTGGGCTGCCACATGGTGGGGGAGAGCACAGGTTTGCAGTGGGGACCCTTTCTACTCAGGTGATTTGGTTTCCTCAAGTAGGATGGGCTCCAGTAAGGAGAAATAGGGATTCCAGGCACTGAAAATTGTGGAGCTGAGCCCAGGGCGTGGAGGCTGCAGAGTATGTAGGAAGCACCCACAACAACCCGCTGGCTTCCATCCTGCTGCCTCCCCTCCCTCTGCCAACCTCCAGCCACTACTGCCTGGTAAAGCTTGGATCCATCATCACCTGCTCAGAGACCTCCCTGGGCTGGTGCCCAGCACTCCAGCAGAGCTCAACACCATCCTCGCGGGTGAAGCCTTCCCTGGGCAGACCTTCCCTTCTCTACTCTCCTGGGCATGGCTGTCCGTGAGCAAGCCCCTTGCCCCACCTCTGCCCAGCATGGCTCCCTATCCAATACCTCTCCACTGCCAAGTCTTGCCCACTCCGCAAAAATTACCTCCCCAGGAAGCCTCCTGTAACTCCTCCATCTTCCCCCAACCCCAGAGAAGTGCTTGGACAAGTCCCTGACCTCTCTGAGGTTCCAGTTTTCTGTACATGTAACGTAGATCATGTCAAGTGCTGTGGAAAGATGATATCAGAACTCAGCATGGAATCTGTGGGCTCTCCAATATTTTAACATAAAATCAAGTTTTGTTATTATAGATGTAAAAAACATACATGGAAAATGGAGAGAGAAAACAGTCCCTTATAATAACCTCACCCAGCCAGGCCCTCCACTGCGACTGCTCTGAAGACTTTGCTGCCCTTATTGTTACACAGACGTCACTGCTCCGGCCTGCTAGAGACTGAGGGGCTTTATTATTACAGGTAGACTGAGATATAATTCATGTACCATACAATCCACTTATTTAAAGTGTATAATTAAGCACTTTTTAAGTATATTACAGAGCTGTGCAACCATATTTAGAATATCTTTGTCACCCCCAAAAGAAGTCCTCTACCCTTTAGCAGTTACCTCCGTGTTTTATTTTTTGCTTAACATTTTGCAAGCATCTTTTGCGGGTGCCTGATAATCTTCTTAACTACCTTGTCTGGTGACTGCTAGCAAAGGACTCTAGGTGAGGGAATGGCACAACCAGGTGTGTTCCAGAACGCGGGTGTCGGTGAGGCCTAGGGAAGACTGATGGAGCAGTGAGCGGAGACACAGGGCGGGCAGAGGGAAGGAAGGGCGGTGGGGCGGACGGCGCGGAGGGGCCCACCTGTGGCACGACTTTGGGGTGGAGGGAAACAGAGCTCTGGAAGCGGAGTTGGCAGCACTGCTACGGACAGGAAGGATGCAGGAGGAGGGTGTCAGCGCCCTTCCTGCGGTGGGTGGGGATGGGAAGGTCAGTAACTGAGTTTCAGAAAGAGGAGCGCGCACAGGTTTGGAGGAGAGCTTGGTTTTGGACATGCTGGATTTGGGGGCCTCAGGCTCTCCTGGTGGAGTCCAAAAGTTGTCCAAAAGTTGTGGGCAGTGGGGCGCTCGGCTTTAGGGGGAAGGTTTGGGAGTCGAGCGCGTACCCGGGTGGGCGTGCAGGGTGAGGAGAACGCCTGAGGAACGCGGGCACTCTGGAGGGCGGGCGGCGATGAAACGCTGTGGACCGTGTCACTAGGTGAGCAGGCGGGGCTGCAGGCGCCGGGGCAGT